CCTAATATGGGTAGTCCATGCGAAAAAAGTAACTTCAGAAACTACTTCCTCCTCTTTTATCCTCTATACAAATCAAGTAAAACCTTCACGCTCTCCAATATGTTGTCTCGCTCTCCAATATGTAAGACAACGTGCTCGCTGCGGTTCCTGTTGGGATGGAAAAGCGGTAAAGCACCCTCAATTTACATCAATGAACATTTTTCGGGACAACCAAAACTGTTTCAGGAGGCCTTGAAAGCAGAAACTAACAATATTCTCCTGATAAAAACTTGAATACAAAACTTGCCAGTTTTTTGTGCCCAATTTACGGGTGTCATTCAAAGAAACTTGTCACATGAACATTTCATCTGTGGTCATTTTGCAGCATAAAAAAGAGAAGAAAATTAAATACTGCATTGCATTTTTCTTTTGGAGAGTGGTAGTCAATTGTCAATTGTCAACAGGCACAGAATCATTCTAATTCCATGAAATCTACATGTATACAGCTGAGGTTGCACTTTAACCTCAAGAACTTCTAATCCCCAGATCAAAATCGTAAGTTAGAAAAAAGTTGGTTAAGAATGTTAACCTTCAACAACACTTGACATGGAGAGTAAGGAAGACTCATGTATTATGTTATCTTGATGCTCATAATCCTCAATGTTGCAAATTCCTGAAGCACTACTCCAACACCAAAAGAATCAGCGGAAGTTGATGCCAATGGAGAAGGCGAAACCTTTACACTGCTTTGACCAAAAAAAGTAAAAATATTAACTTCATCACAAAATGCCACTTCAACATCAAAAAGACCAATCCAATGTTAGAAAACTGTTAAGCTAATGGTTTATTAAGGAAATAAATGAAAGAAACAGAAAAGATGAGAACAGGGAAGGAAGAGAAATGTACTGTTGTTTTATTACTTGCTTTTCACAAAATGCATTTTACAATATTTATTAACTGCAAATTTTTAACTAGCTTGACTAACTAACTCTCTTGACTTCCATCTAATCTCAATTATCTAATTAATTGAGCTTGACCACTTTAACTAGATGAATCACGTGCTGATTGTTCTTTAACCATTCAACAATGGTTTCAACAGCAGCCATTGCTACTGTTTTCTTCCTTCTTTCCATCACGTGCAACTTCTGATTATAAAATCTGTAGAATGTGCGTAATATAACAATACCACTCCCTTGAAGTGATTCTAGACATTAAGAATTTGTGCAAAACTCTAAAAATTGTATTTGAATCTTCTCCAGTTCTTCCCATGTTGCATCATCAGGAAATGATTTGATCATTGAATCAATCCTACTACCACTTCCTTGTTAGCTTTCTTCATAAGCTTTCTGTCTAAGATTGTAACAGGAAAAATTTTGATACTGCCTACTTCATCCACCACTAATAATGTAGATTAGACAACAAACAATTTTAGCTTGTAAGCCACAACTCCAATCCTTTTAATGACTTGATAGGGACTATAATATCTAAGATTCAACTTAACGCTCTTTTTAAAGGACATACTTCTCTATTTATATGGTTGCAATTTCAAAAATACTCAATCATCTCTTACAAACTCTTTTTAAGATCTATTTTTATATCCCAGTTGTTTCATCCTGTTTATTGCCCTTTTCAACAACTGATCCGCATATATTAATCATTCTCTTCACCAGTTCTTCTATAGCAGCAACTTGAGTAACCTTAGTATGGACCATTTCCTTTGTTGGTGGTTCATAACTATAGAGAGCTTGAAATGTACCACAATTACACTAGAGATGACCATAAACACCATTTCTTTGGGTTATGCATAACATGTGTCACATATATATCTAAAAACGCTAATTTACCCTTTTAAATTGTCAATCAGTTTGTGGGTCATAAAAAATACTCATTAATAGCTTCACTCCAAGCTTCTTAAATAGTTCCCTTAAAAAAGGCTAGTGTAAAGAGTTTATTATAGTCAATGACAGATAACCATTAACTTGTAGAAGTGGTCTAGAAAAGCTGAGCAACACCTTAAGCTAAGAAGGGATGATTTAGTACAATAAAATGTCTATATTTTGTAAACCTATTCATAATTACTATAATAGTGTCATTCTCTTTTTATATTAGCAAACCTTCTACGAAATTTATAAAATTTATAGTAATGAAGCTGGTAATGGTTACAATAACCTTGGATAAACCATCCTTTCTACCTCAACTTGTTTACAAATATCATATTATTGGACTAACCTCTTTACTGATTTTTTCATTAATGGCCAATAAAAATATGCCTTGAGTCTTCTATAAAAATTTTGGGTTCCAGCATGACCTTCAATGTAAGAGTCATTTGCAAATATGATTATATGTTCTTTTAATGACCCTGTAACTCCCACTATAATCCTTTTTTTATAACTTATAATTTTATCTTCATAGTTATAGTTTGAATAGTTATTAGCATCAATAATCTTACTCATGACAATATCATGTAATATAGCATCATTTTTGTAGGAATCATATATCTCTTTATACTAACTTGGCACCATTTTGGTTATTGCATTTAAACCACTGATTTTCTTGCCTCCACTAGCGTGCTTGTCTTCTACATAATAATCTCTTCTGGAGAGTGCATTTGCAACCAAGTTCTCCTTGCTTTCCTATATAGAATTTGACAATTCAAACCTAACAACTTAGTTAATCCTTTTTTTAAAATTGTTGTGTGAATCTTTTGGTGTAATAAGTGTTTAAGACTTTTATGCTCAATTTGAATTATAAATTGTTCTTGTCCTAAATAGTATCTCCATTTATCTATAGCTGTTAGAATTGCTAGATATTCCTTCTCATTGATGGACAGTCATAAATGCCTAATTCTCAAAGTCTTGCTAGTAATTGTCACGGGTCTTTTTTCTTAACTAGGCATTGCATCTAAACCATTAACACAAGCATTGGTCTCTAACACAAATCTTCATAAAATGCCTTCTTTATAAGGTTAAAAGCTTCATGTGCTCCTTCGTACCATCTGAAATTATTCTTCTTCAGCAGATTTATTAGTAATTTATTGATAACACTAAATCTCTTAGTAAACTTCTTATAATAGCCAACTAACACTAGAAATCCCCTTAGTTCATTCAAGGACTTAGGAACTAGCTAATTCATTATTGCCTTAGTCTTATTAGGGTTAGTTGCCATCTTTTTTGATAAAATTATATGCCCCAAGTATTTCACCCATGGCTCATCAAAAGTGCATTTGGATTTCTTTGCAAACAATTGGTTAGTTTTGAGAGTCTTTAGGACCAGCTTTAAATGATTTACATGTGCTTCTAAAAAAGAATTATAAATTAAGATATCATCAAATAACACTAAAATAAACTTCCTCAAGAAAGGTTATAAAATACCATTTATTAATGTTTGAAAAGTAACAGATGTATTTGTGAGTTTAAATGACATTACTTTGAATTCATAATGTTCTTGATAAGTTCAAAATGTTGTTTTTTCGACATCTTCTTTATACATACGAACTTGAAGATAACCAGATTTTAAGTTCAATTTAAAAAAAAAAAAACTTCAACCTTGCAACTCATCTAATAAATAATCTATTATCTATCAGTAGAATTAAGAAATTATTCTTTATTGTTAATTAATTTGTCTACCTATAATGTATACAAAAATACAATATATTATCCTTTTTTTTACCAACAGTACAAGTGAAGCAAAATGACACACACTTTACTGGATTATACTACTACTCAACATCTTATTGACTAGACTCTCAATTTCTTTTTTTTTTTTTTAATAGAACAATTTATAGGGTATGTAAATAACAAGTTGAACTTCAAGTTTCAATGAAATCTTGTGATCAAATTTCCTAACTAGTGGAAGACTTTTAGGTTCCCCAAAACATTATTGTATAATCTTTCACAAGCCTTTCAATTTCAACATTGACCAGGGTACTTAACAATGAAACTCTTTATCTTCTCAATAACATGTTAATCAATAAAAATGAGTGTTTCCACAGTAAATTAGAACAATCAACTCCTTTTCTTAATAGCTTTTTTTTTTTTATTTTGGTAATGTTAGGAGTATAAGGTATTACAATATTCTTCAATCTTATTATTCTCTATTATACTTTATTTTTATTCTCTATTATACTTCATTTTTATCCCTTACTTCAACCATAAATTCTTCACCTTCATTCTAATATATTGATATCTAGGTATAAATTTATCTCTATATTTAGACAATGAAGTGCTAATTTGGACTAGAAAAACTGAATTATTCAAAATAAAATTTTGATGAGCAAATTAAACACTAAAATCAATTTGTTGAAGCAAAGATATTACAAAGGTTGCTTTACTAATCACCATGCATGTCTAGAGTAGTAGCAGAGGGCACATTTAATAAACTTGAGTAAGATTTCTTGTTTATTTCAGGACCTAGTTGATCGGGCTTTTGGGACGAGCCGGGTGTCAAGAAAAAGTTAATTTATAGAATTAACCCCTAACTTAGTTTGACTTTTTAATTTTGTTTTTAAATAACATTATTTTAATTATATAACCTAAGTGTTATGCTCCGATTAGTTTAATAAATATGGTAGAGTGTAATGGTTTCATAAGCGGCATTGCATTATATAGAACAAAAACAAATATACAATCTAATAATATGTAAAAATGTCACAAGAAAAACAAACAATTGATATGGGGATTTACTAAGCAATGCCTTGTTTCTATGTGATTTGTAAAAAGGCTTGCAGGAGTCAATTAGCAATGGCCATGACCCTTTTGTGTTTCTGAAAACTATGACTGTTCCTGTGATGTTTTGAAAATTAGTAGGAAAGGGCAACCAAGCCCTTGGTGGCTTAAAGAGTAAGTATAATTAAATGAGGGGTATTGTGGTAATTGAATAATAGTTGATAAATATAAATAGGAAGAAAATAAAACAAAAGAACAAAAGAGGGAGCTGTGTTTTTTTTTAGAGCAAACGTAAGAGGGGGAGAAGGAAGAAGAAGAAGAGAAAAGAGGGGAAGAGAAGGGAAAGGGAAGAGATTGAGAAGAAATAACTTTAAAGGTAAGATTTAGGTTGTTAAATGTATAAATGTGTTGTTTTAAATTTAAATTTATGTTTTGATAAATATTAGGGTTTTGAAAATTTGTGTTTTGGGTTAATTGATGAATTAATTTGAATGTTATAGGGTTGATTGTTGTGGGTAATTGATTAATTAGTTGATTTTGAGAGATTGTTGATAAAGATGATGATGTTGAGTTATGATTTGTGTAAATTGTGAATTTTGAGTTGGAATTCTGGAAAGAACAGTAGGTAATCTGTGAACAATTCTGGTTTTGAGGTTGAAGATGATGAAAATTCAATTTGGTCCCTCAATTTGTGGAAATTACAGTTTAGTCCCTAAACTTTGGAAAAATTATAATTTGACCCCTAATGGTATTTTGAGATTCTGGACAGTGTTATTATGAGGTTAAGGATGATGAATCTCAGTTTGATAATTGATTTGGAATATTTCCAGTTTGGTCCCTAAATTTAAGAATTTTCATTTTAGTCCCTAAACTTTGGGAAAATTATAATCTGACCCCTAATTGTATTTTGAGATTCTGGACAGTGTTATTATAAGGTTAAGGATGATAAATCTCAGTTTGATAATTGATTTGGAATATTTTTAGTTTGGTCCCTAAATTTTAGGAATTTACATTTTAGTCCCTAAACTTTATAAAAATTACTTTAGGTCCCTAGTTCGTTCTAGAAAGAATGAAGGATGGTTTATGGGTGAAATTTCAGTATGGTTATATATTTACAGTTTGATCCAGTTTTGGTAAAATTACATTTTGGTCCCTATTTGGATAATTATTGTTTTAGTCCCTAAACCTAGGAGAGTAAACCTAGTTTTATTTTATGCATTGAGATATTTTGTTTGAGTTGTTTTTGAGTATATGTCATATATTGTTGTAGGTTCTCTTAACGATCCTCAATAGGATTTTCGGGTCTTTCGTCTAACGTTCCTTTAGTTCTATATTTTCCGGGTGAGTGGGATAATCTTTAATATGCATATAATATAAGTAAATATGTATGTTGATTATATGATGAGTACGATTAGTTAATCTCTTGAATATTTATATTTATATATTTTGCTTTGTTTTCCGAGTACTCATCTATTCTTGAAATTTGCACTCGCATTTTATCGAGCTAAATTCTGTTTGATATGATATACGTTTCTTTGATGATTCTGTAAATATCTATTATGCCTTGATATAGGACTTGTCAGTAACTCCATGCTAACGGAGAGTAGTTAGCCTATGTGCACATAGTATTCTGTATACCTAACTGATGAGAGAAGTATCAGCCTGTGGCGACTGATCATCCCACAGTGGTCACCTTCGGGTGTCATCTGGTCACTTTTGAGTGTCATCTGGTCACCCTCGGGTGTCATCTGGTCACCTTCGGGTGTCATCTGATCTCTGACATGTATTCCACTACGTTATGATAATATGTTCAGTATGTATATGTATATGTATATCATTCTACTACGTTATGATAATATATTTAGTATGTATATATATATGTATATCAAGATAAATCATCTGACAAATTATTAATATGAAAATATCTAAAATGTATATTAAATATTATTCCCTCACTGAGTTGGTTGAACTCACCCCTCATTCTTAATATTATTTCAGGTTCTTAGTTTCTGATAGCAGTTGGACTTTGTTGAGTGTTTCTGCTTCTTCAGTTTTGGGTCGGTATGCCTTGCTTATTGTTCAAGGTTGTTTTGATTCGATGTCTTAGACGCTCCACTATTACTCTGTTTTAATTAAGTTTGGATTTTGACAATGTAATGAGTATTATGAATTATTATTTTTGTTTTAATTACTGATGAAGAGTTTTGAACTATCCTTTGATTTCATCAGCTTTGAGTAATATAATATTTCTCAAGATTATGAAATGCTGCGTATTTTTGAATATCTTGTTCTTTTGATATGTCTGTTTTGAGGTTTAGCGTAGGTGGGGTGTTCTTTCGACACGGCTCCTGCGTTGCCGGTCATGAACCCAAGATTCAGGTCGTGACAGTTCCTTTTCGTGGGTAAAAATATTAAAGAATTATGATCAACTAAATAATTGGCAATTAACAAGATGAGTTCATAAGATAATTACTTGTTAGAAGAGATACATATCTTTTTTTTTTATTGAAGAAAATCCCATCTTTTAAAAACATACTTTTGTAAGTTTAGATAAATGAATAAAACTCTAACTATTATAAATTTTTATAAAAAAATATACACTGTAATTCAAAGAGCCACATATCACTCACATCTAAAGTGAAATTCACAAAAATTGTTTCAAGGGTCAAGTTGCTCATGTGTGTTCGGTATTGTAGTATAAAAATATTTTTTTAAATATTTTTTATTTAAAAATAAATTTAAATAATATTTTTTATTTTTTTATTTTTAACAACAATTCATTAATATAATAAAAAAAATACTAAAATATAAATCAATTTGATATTTTTCAAATTATTTTCAGAACACATAAAAAAATGTATATAAATTACTGCACTATCGTAATACTTTTTAAAGTTTTGACATGATTCTTTGAAATTAAAGATAAATTGCTGGTTATTATAAAAAGAAAAAAAGAGAGTTTGATAACTAAATCCTCCAAGTGGCAAGTCTGTGGTGTAAAATATTTTTTTATATTAATAAAAAAAATTCATTAAAAAAATTATTAATTTAATATTTTTTCAAATTAAATATATTTTTTAAAATACAATTAAATACAGTACAAAAAAAACACTAATTATGAACCAATCACGGTGGTTGCATACAAACAAACACGAGGCAGCACAATCAATCACCCTCCGTTATGAACGACAAATGTTTATAATCTCCATGATTAGAACATTAGATTGACCGTCGTAAAACTTTAAAATATTGGCCATTTGACTTAGCTAGCATCCAACAATCTCTGACCAAGCAGGCTGAAGCTCTCGAGGGCTTTTATGATAACTTTAGTTGGTTTTTATTTATTTATTTATTATTAACATTAATGTTTGGATTAGTTTATTTATATTTTAATTAATTTTATAGATTTCAAAATTAATAATTATATAATTCTTTAGTAATCTTGAAATTTATAAAATTTAAATTAATAATTTTTAAAAAATCAATATAAAATCTAACCAGACACACGACAACTAATTAACTTTATTCATTTATGATAACAGAGTGAGATGCTCCGCGCTTGGCCAATTGACAGTAATATTGAACAAGGACCATGCATAGTGAGCAGCACAGAATCCTATGTCGTTTCATTGCCCAAAAAGTATTTTAGTTCGGTCAAGCAAAAGTAGCAGGAAGTTTATAATTTAAGGGTTGTTGAGAGTCTAGTTGTAATTAATTTCTAAATAATTTTTATATTACAATATATAATAATAATAATATTTATTATTTTTTTAAAAATATTTTAGATATTAGTATATTAAAATAATTTAAAAATATTAAAAATATATTAATTTAAAGTAAATAAAAAATAAAAAAATTAATTTTTTTAAAATATAAAAATAAACATGCAATTGCCCTTGACATCTTAATGCAGGCCAGCAAAGATGCTAAGAAGGGAAGGGAAATTGTAAAAACCTAAGAGGATATGAGTGTCCAACGAGGAACTTGCAAGTTCTGGTGCATTGAATTCTGTGACTAATCCATCCTTCAATCTCTCGTGAGCATATCCCCACTTCATGAAAACAATTAGACCGTTTAGAATCAATTCTTTATTTGAAAGTTGAAGAAGAAAATTCAATTTAATCATGGTATTTAGTTCAGTTTAATTTATCACATTCAATTAATAAATAAATTTAAATTTAATTCAATCTTATTCTTTAAATTTTTTTAAAAAAAATACAGATAGATAGATAAATATAATTTATCTTTTTATGTAATAAATAAAAGGAATTAGCTTGTATTATTTTTAGTGATGAAATTCTATTTAAAATTTAATTCTTAATGAATTGCTTAGAAAAGCTAGAATGTTTACAAAATTGCTAAAAAATAATTTTAAGAGATGTAATTCAACTATTCAGATATTAACTTTACCTTTTAAATATTACAACTCGAGTATTATAAAATTCAAATTATTAAAAATTTATATAATTATTAATTTTAAAATTTTAAAAAATTAATTAAAATAATCATAAGTTAGTTCGGTCTTCTACAGTTGCTAAAAGAAAAAATGCTAGAACAGCTGACTGATTTTGTTACTCGTAACGTGTTATACACAATCTTCACTTGACTCTCCATGAATATGTTGTGGCATCACTGCCGATGAACTTCACCCTCCACCGGCAAAACATTTCCAGGAACATTCATTCATTCTCTTGAATCATGGACCAACAAAATTGGACTTCCCTTGCTCAGCTTAATAATGGTCAGAACGAGCAAGCAATATCACGTTTGATTCTTTGACAAATGCTCCACAATTGCGAAAAAAAATGGAAGTCCTTCTCAAATTGACCTGACCTCTTCCATGTTGATGATCTTATATTAGATTACATTAATCACAAAAAAATTAATAAAAAAATACATCTTACAAATGTTGACAAAGTAAAAAAAAAAGAAAAGGAAAATTAATAGTAGCATCCTAAAGCTTTGGACAAGCAAGATCACCCTTCTAAACCGGTGGTCAGCTAGATTCACCTACGTCTGATCCACCGCGTCTAGACGAACCCCCTTGGTTGTCACTAGCTACCACTTTCGGTGACCTCACCGACGATGAAGCTCTCGATAGAAACGAAGACGCTTTTGCTAAGAATGACGGGTTCCTACCAAAAACCCACCGGTCTGACCTCGGTTCTAGGTCCAGTTTCTCAAGTCTCTTGTAATTTAACATCTTTCTTGAACTCCCTTCACCAACTCCGGTCCTATAACCCTTCCTTGAACTTCCTTGTCTAGGCAGCACCACCATGCTCGTAGACCGGTTCAACTTCCGGTTCATCACCTGTTTCCTAACCTCAGCCGGCAATCTCAAAGTAAAACGATCGGTGTTCTCTCCAGGTTGAACCAAAGAATGCCCGGTCGAATGTGACCGAGGAAACCTCGGTGGCCTACCCGATCTTGACCCACGTGTCCGGTTCCTATTCAAAGTTTTATTCACATGCACACTCACAACGTCAGGCTCAGGTCCACCCACTTGCACTTCCACATTAGCATTCCCGTTTTCTGGCTCGATCCCAAGGGCGCCGTTTTGGGCCTCGAGGTCCAACTCGGGGCTGTGCAAATCGCTGAGTTGGGATACCGGGTCGGCGGGTTTGGTCAAATCAGCTCTACAAACAGGACAGGTAGTGTGAGACTCCAGCCAAGCATCAATGCAATCAGGATGGAAGACGTGGTCACAATTCGGAATCAAACGCAGCGTTTCATCGTCTTCGAATTCGTTTAAACAAACGGCGCATTCTAACGCGCCTTTACCAATCTTCAAGCCTTTCACAACCGAGTAGATTAAAGTCGGAAACGTCTCGATAACGCCAGGATCAAGCCCACGCGGTGCGGCGGGTCGAGAGAGTCCGACTACATCCAATGCCCTGATACTCCCGTTTGCGCTGGCTTCGTTGCAGCGGCGGATGTAGATTGAGAAGAGCCCCATGGAGAAGAGAGCAACTAACAAAACGACAATGATAATCGCCATCGACGGTGTCACCTGCGCGTAGTTGTTGTACACTCCGCTGTCGTTCGAGCTGTTGTTTTGCGAAACGACACCGCCAGGAGTTATAAGGAAGAAGAGAATCAAGAGAGGAAGGATCCTGTGTATGAACGCGCAAGAATCCATGATGGCAGAAATCGAACAAACTTTCCAAAAAAAGACAAAATTGTGATTTCCGGACAGGAGCGATGTAGTTCAGTTGAGTTCAGTTTAGGTGGTGTTTTTTTTTTTTTTTTCCAGGGGTGTTGTGGTTGCTAAAGTGCTCCGGTGAGGGCACGAGGTAAGGTGTCGAAACGAAGATGATGGGGGCCTTATAAAAGAGGGATGGGATGGAAAAGTGATCAGGTGTCGAACAGAAGCGGAAAGACTGTAAAGAAAGTGGGGTCCATTGATTTGTTTGGCGGTGATGTAAGTGCTTGGGTCAGAGTGAGCCCACGTGGACCAGCTTAGAAGGTTCCAAAGAAATGATTGGATGAGTGTTCCTCGAAGAGGTAGTATCTAAGATGATTGTGTTAAATTATTTTTTATTTAAAAATATATTAAAATAATATTTTTTATTTTTAAAATTTTATTTTTAAAATTATTATATTAAAATTATTTAGAATCATAAGAAAATAATTAAAGTAAAAAAATTTAAAAATGCTTTTTAAACTTTAAAAAACACCTTATAAACCTTAAATTTGACTTGATGAAATAATAATTTTTTAATTTAAAGTATAATAAAATTAAATTTTAATTTATTTTTTTTAAGATATTAGCTTGATTATTCAGTTTTATTTTAAATTAATTTAAATAATAATTTTATTAAATTGAGTAATTTATAATTGTATTTTGGTCAAGAGTGAAATTTGATTAAATATTGCATATTCACTATTCATGTGAAAGTTTTTTTTTTAAAAACCATCTATAATGTATTAAAAAAAATATAAGACATTATTTTTCTTATTTTACCTTTTATGAATCATCATCAACAGAAGAAAAACAATATATGAAATTTGATTAAGACATACATGAAATGAATAAAAACATGTTAAAATAATTTAGATTAAATACAAAAAGAATGCTAGAATTCTGAATGTTATGTATATTATAAATGTTTAGTTTTAACCTAAATATAAATAAAGTATATGTAAGTTAAAATGAAAATATTATTTTTCTTTTAATAAATAAGACTATATAAATATTATTTAACATCTCCTCACAAATTCACGATATAGCAGCTACAAGTATCGAGAGTTTGCGTTGCATTAT